TTATTAGGAAATCCAAAAATGCAAGCACATTGAAATAAAGGCCTTTGTTTATTTTTGTTCTATTTTGTTCATTATTTTTGGAGTAAACCCCTGCTTAATGATAAGTTTTGTCAGCTAGAATGAAAAAAAACCTGTCTTTCACTCCAAAACTGCAATTCCAAATGTGGATCTCCAGATATTGGGATCCAAATACGATGGCGACAAACTGAGGATTTCATGAGTGATCCTGGATTAAATAAATTGGTAGGTTAGATTTCACAGGCTGCACTGTTTTTGAGAGCAGCTTTTAAATGAACACAGAACTTGCTAAGAAAGTAAATCAAATCGACAAATTGTATCGAGAAAGGATGTACCTAGAAAGGGTATTGTACTGTTCTTTATTTTAAAAAATATATAACATTAGTTCTCCACTGTAGATTATAATATTTGTAACTTGGTTCAATTTTGATTGCATTAGGAATGAGGAGCCACTGGCCCAGGCAATGTGCAATCCTTGTATAAATTCCATGTGTTTCGTGCTTTTCTTTGAAAATCTCTTTGTAAGATACCAGCTCAAGCCAAGAACAAAGAGCCTCAAATAGGACATTCTTAGATTTCAATGCCTTTCTGGATTTTATAACTCCTGCTCTGGAATCTCTACTCATTTGAGATTTGTTTTTTGGTAATTAGCAAAATCTATTTTACACATGCTGAAGGGCTAAATTTGAGAGTCCAAATGTTATCCTACATTTACCATACTTTTATGTATTATAGTTATAACAATTAAAGCTAGTCCTTGACTTACATTCATTTGAAGTTACAACAGCACTGAAAAAGGGACTTATGACCATTGCAGTACCTCCATAGTCATGTGATCAAAATTCAGATGCTTGGCAACTGGCATGGTATTTACGATAGAGTCATATGATCACATTTTGTGACATTCTGACAAGCAAAAATTGATGGAAAAGCCAGATTCACTCATCTTACTAACTTAACAGCTGCAATGGTTAACTTAGCAACCGTAGCATGAAAGGTTATAAAATGGAGCAAAACTCACTTAAACTGTCTTGCTTAGCAATAGAATTTTTGGGCTCACATCTGGTTGTAAGTTGAGGGTTACCCCAATCACTTTTTCTGTTTCATTCTTCTTCCAACCCTGTTAAGTAGATAAAGCAGAAAGTTAGCAGCCCCTAATACTGTTTCTTCTTTGATGACTTTTCCACTTTCTCCCACTGGAAGCTCCACACTTCCTTTCTTAAACTGCCATTTTGTTTGCAAGAAAGGGAAATGAGCCATGAAAAAATGCACCACTCTCCATCTTAGGTTGATTTGATGGCAAGTGTTATCAACCACATCTGAAAAATAAGGTCTGATATGGATAAAACAGGATGAATAAAATTTTCCCTGTCCATTGCTTTTCTCTCTCTCTCAAGAAAAAAAAGGTAGGTATAAATGCGACAAATAAAACTTTTTTTTTAGGAAACTACAAATTTTATTATGGTATAATGCAAAATTTAAAACGTATGAAAAAAGGAAGCTGCATTATAATGGGTCAAACTATTAGCTCAACTAATTCTAAATCCTGGAGTCCTTGATGCTTGCAGCATGGCTGGCTTGCTTGCAGATGTTTCATTACCCATCTAGGTAATGTCATTAATACTCCACAGTTCAACCTAATTATATATATATTCTTCTATTGTGATTCTAGATTTCTAGCTAATCAATTTTTTTGCAGGATTTTAGGGAAAAAACAATTTTTCCAGTGTTACTTGGAGGTACAAGAAAATGTACAAATAAACTTGACTTACAACCATTCATTTAGTGACAGTTCAAAATTACAACAGCACTAAAAATGTGTTATGACAATTTTTCATGCTTACGACCATTTCAACATCACCATGTCACGTGATTAAAACTTGGGTGCTTGGCAACTGGCATGCACCTATGATGGTGACAGTATCATGGGATCACCTTCTGGCAAACAAAGCCAATGGGGAAAGGCAGATTCTTGTACCCACCATTTACTATAACTGCAGTAAATCACTTAATAACTGAGGCAAGAAAGGTCGTAAAATGAGGTAAAACTGTCTTGCTTAGCAATGGAAGTTTGGGGCTGAGTTGTAGTTGTAAGTCAAGGACTACCTATTTTATGTATTTGAACTCTTTTGTCTACAAAACAGTATTCTACAGTATTGAATTATAAACATACTGTGTTGCTCTGGGACTGGTCCACTTAATAGCTGCTATATTCAGGAGGTGCCATGAGGTTGTACCTTAAAGAAGACTATCCAGTCCTTTGAACAATGCCAATATAGAATGTGATAACTAGACCAAATGGGATGATCTCAAAAATTATCTTTGTTGAAATAAGCATTCATTTTTTGAATGTATTACGTATTCATTAAAAATTTGATATACATTCACATTTGATACATATATATCAGATCTGGCATATTTTATGTCCTTTCTATCTCTAAACATGAACATATGTGCACATAAATGTGTTTGTGCAAACCCTCCCCCTTGTGTTCAGGCCTATATATACTATATACATATCTCAGTCAGGTTATTTATTGGTGAATCTTTTGCCTTGGTACATATTTACATGCCTGCTCACACACATGTACACACCCACCAGCTTGCCAAAGGTAGCCACCCACACAAACTTCTCTTCAATTTCTTAGCAACTGTCTTACTGTGATCATCTGTAGTCACAAACTGCCTACATCCCAGAAATATTGCTACAAAAACAACCTTGTGCTCCAATTTCTACATTTAGCAGCCCAACTATAAATTTCTAAACTTTTCGTAAATACATAGTAAGCAAATGTCAATGCTATCTTCTGCATTTTTGCATGTTTAAATATCTTGGGGAGCTTAGAAAGCTGAAAGTTGTAACTCACACAAAAGGGGATGACCATATACCACATGAAGGGTCTTTGTAATCTTCTGCATATCGTTCCCCTTCAAAAGTAATAATACATTATACAGGATATGTGCTCCCAAGAACAAGCAAATAAAAAGCCACAGGTGTTATGCCTGTGTGATTTGTCCTTGAAGAAGCAGGTGTACTTAATATTTCTTTAATTGGAAAGGTGTTTATACGTTTTCAGGTGAGTTTCAAGATTCTCATGTATTTGTTTCTTTAAAGAGAAATTACACAGGCTAATTTCAAAGATATCTTCAAGGACAGAGCAATAAAGAATTAAAGGGTTGCCCATTACCTTTTGCAGGGATCCTTCCCTAGAAGCTGCTCTTTGCATTGAAAAGAAATTTCCAATAGCACTGAGATCAGTTCTGCAAATGGTTACTGATTTGCTAAACAAATGTGGTTATCAATCCATGTTAAGCCTGGAGGTTTGGGGTTAGGCTTTTCTCTTAGATTTCATGTCTCTATGCCTAGAAAAACATAAGTCTGTGGGGTGCCCAGCTTTTGGAATAGTGTTTCACAAAGCCAAGAACGCCTCAACTCTTGCATGCCATTGTAGTGAAATGCAGTTGTGAGACCCCGCATGTCCTCTTGAAAATATATAAAGCCTATTTGAAAAAAAACTCCAATTAAAAAAATATACTTAGTCTTAAAAGTTGAATATGAACAATCTTCAAATCCAGACTTTTATTATATTTTGAGTTTGGAAGAGACTTTCCTGGGCTGTTTGTCACTCTATCCAAAACTATATGAAATACATATACAATACAAATGAAAAGTTGCTCATATAGCCCAAATTATCTATCTATCATCTATCTATCTATCTATCTATCTATCTATCTATCTATCTATCTATC